CCCCCCCCCCCCCTGATAGTTTTGCATTGTCTGATTGATTGAAGTGTCGAGGCAAGAAAAAAGAAAAAAAAGAAAAAAAAAAGAAAAAGAAAAAAAAAAGATAAGAAGAAGTAACTAGAGACCTTGAAGTTCCGAGTCTGAATCCAACCTCTCCAACAACCTGGGCGTTTAAACTTTAAGGCCTTACTAGGGGGAAAGAAAAGAAAGAAGTACCTTAAAGTTTTAGGCTGTTACGGTTTTACCCTATCATGGGAAGAAGCATGGTGTGTTTGTGATGCCAATGTTTCCCACTGGTGACAGATATGCATCCTGTGGCTGACTGGCTCTTGACGGTGGCATGAACTAACGTACCCCCCCTTAAACCCTCGAGAGTTCTCGCGGGCTGCTTTGTGCTTGGATTCTACAGACTGTCGAGGGTTCAGCCTCCTGATGAGTTCATCCAAATCCAAGCAAACAGTCTGCCTGCTTGTCTTTCGTTACCCCCTAAGCTTGTCATCATTACCCTTCCCTCTCAGATCACTACCCCGCCCTTCATCATTTACCCTACCCTTCATCATTTACCCTACCCTTCGTCTTCATTGCCCTACCCTTTGTCATTGCTACCCTACCCTTCGCCATTATTACCCTACCCTTTGGCATCGCTACCCTACCCTTCATCGTCATTGCCCTACCCTTTGTCATCATTACCCTACCCCCTTCGTCATCATTACCCTTCGCCATTATTACCCTACCCTTCGTCATCACTACCCTACCCTTCGCAATCATTACTCTACACCTTTGTCATCACAGTGACTTTGAATGTATCCAGACCCGTTTGCGGCGATTATTATTTCCTGTGTTTTTGTGCAGCACTGCATCGAATTTCGAAACATCTCGATCCGCAAATCTATTGTCACCGCAAAGGCATGAGGATAAGGTTGGATAAGATGAGCATGCGTTTTTTGGATATTAAGGTCATTAAATTTTATCCTTGGATTGCGGAGTGGTGAAAAATGAGTGCATTCCCTTCTGGATGAGATGAGAACGCCTTTTTCCATAACCTGAGCTGCCGTTTTTGCAGAGGCATGTGGACAAGATTTTTGAATCTTGTGGTCACCACAGACAATCTCACGCATATCTCTTCTTTGCCGGCCCCATTTTCCCTCGCTCCTTATCTTTCTGCGGATAAGATGAGCACGTCTCTCTCTCTCTCTCTCTCTCTCTCTCTCTCTCTCTCTCTCTCTCTCTCTCTCTCTCTCTCTCGCTCGCTCGCTCGCTCGCGCACGCGCGTCTCACCCTCAACTTCCCCCAGTGTCGCTCGACACCCGAAGACCACCATAGCCGACCTGAGTGTCTCGCAGAAGGTAGAACCGGGGGTCCACACGCTAACCTTAGAGCGACGTAGGACGGGGTACAGCGGCCCCACCAAAAGAAGCTGTGCCAAGCCGGGGGGGGGGGGG